AGAAATTGACGATCGAGGCACACTGTCGTCGAAGATTTCGGATGAGTTCTATCAATGAGAAAACGAGGGATTTGTCGATCACTATCGTGTCCTTTTACATGAGAATAGCTGGCTTTTGGCTGTCGAAGAACTATGCGGAAGAACGCTGGAGGAAGTTTGCTAGAATATATTCGACCAGTGCGGTCTTCGTCGCCAGCGGGATCGAGATAAGAGATTTGTATTTTAGTTGGGGTGATTTCAGCGTGAGTGAAAAATTTCAATTTCATTACGTCGCGGTGGGAGGGAAATTTCAGATCGTAATTTAGTGACTAATCGCGATTGGTAACAAGCCATTTTTACTTTTTAAATTCGAAAGGGGATGATATCGAGCGTGGTACGTGCGCCTGTAAAATTATTATCTAATTATTTAATTATAGGATACTATATACACCATGTGCAACGTCGTAACCATCATCCTAGTTCTTTTCAAATGTTTGATTTCATTTGTATATAAAAAGGAACTGATCGGCTTGATACAGTACGCGAAAACGAACTTTTGGCATTCGAATTACGACACGCACGAGCAAATGATTATGGACAAGTGTAAACGTTCGTGTGCGACTCATGTTTGTATTTTCACTTGCCTTGTTCAGGGAACGGCTATCTCTTACCTGGTAGAGCCAATTAAAGGTGAAACACATATCCACAGTGATGATACAATTATTCTATGAAAACATTTTTAATTGAAACGTACAAACATTTTTGATTGAAACCCTCAGAAAATATCGGGAAAAAGGAAACAGATCGAATACTTCCATTTAATTCGTGGCTAAACCGCACGCTGTACTATAGGACGCCGTATTTTGAAATCCAGTTCTTAGTAGAGGTAATTGTTAAGAAGCGACTGAAAGCCGGGCTAGCTTTGTTCATTGCGACTTCGTTTGCCGAGTTCAATTCGAAATTTGGATAAAACTCTGGGATAAAACTACGACATATAAATGGAATAAAAACAGAAGTCTTGCATTTCTACAGATTCTGGCTTTGTTTTATGTCGGCGTGTGCTACCTTTGCTTCGACAATATTTTGTGCATTATAAATCTGCATACTGCTGGACAGTTCCGTATATTGCAATACAGATTTGGAAACATATGCAACACGAACGATCACGAAAAATTCCGTGAAGTTTCGGAGAAATCGTCGTACAATATATATAAATACAGGAGGCTTAAGACTTACATTCAACAACACCAAATGCTCATCGCATATTGTAAATCGCTCGAGCATGTATTTAGCTTAATTGTGTTTTGGCAAGTGTCACTCTTCAGCTTGTTAATATGCCTCGATGGTTACTTAGCTCTTACGGTTAGTATCCATCTAATAAACGTAACTTTTCACAAAGTTAATCTCCAAGGAATTTTTAACTTTTATCGACATTTACTGTGGTATTCAATATAATCAATTTCTAACAGTTTTTCCTTTGCGAAATTACATAAAATTCTCAGACGTAAAAAGAAAGTGACATTCTTGTAGTTGATAGTTCATTATCAGACTCTGCGGATTCTTATGCATTCGGGGGAAATTTGAAGCTACAAAAATGAAAAAATTGTGCAAAACATCCAAAAACTATTAATTATAATTCCACATTCTCAATGATGAGCATGAAAATTTTGAAAAAGTCACAAGAATCAGCAGTTTCGCTTCTTCATTCGTTACTGTAATTAAACTTTTATAGAGCGGCATCCCTCTAACAAGACGGCTTGTTTTCATAATTCATATGATGGGTAGCACCTATCAATTGCTGATGTTCACTTATAGTTGCGATACTTTGATACGAGATAGCTCGAACGTGGGTACAGCCGTATACGGGAGCTTATGGTCGCTCCTGCCAATGGACAAATACGGGAAAATGTTACGAAGAGATTTGATACTAGTTATCTTGAGGTCTAAAACACCCTGTTGCCTAACTGCCAGTGGATTCTTCATAGTATCATTGGAAACATTTACCAAAGTAAGTAAATTTAATTGCTGTAAGCACTTTCAATTAACTTTTCCAATCTGATATAATAATACCAAAGGTTTGATGTACACTTTGATATAATAATACCAAGGTTCGATCGCTCTTTACTCTCAAAACAATCACATTTCTTATTCTTGGTTTATTCTTATCTTTATACAATTATTGCAGCTTCACTACAAATTATACATATAAATTCAGCTTTCGCTAATTTGATAAATATTTCACTCGAAAATAAAAATAGTTCATTAAAGTTTTGCTGAATTTTTCAACACGCGTGTGTGTGTGTGTGTGTGTGTGTAGTAAATTGAAAATTGTACATCGAAAAATTGTCAATGTTTAATTATTATGATTTTGTGGGGAAAAAAGATCATTGATCAATCAACTCTATATGAAATCCTTATTCTCACGATACATTTTTGCATTTTTGTTAAAGTTGTTTTTACATCATATGGCAAGTGGAAACGTGAAGAAGCTTTCTTCTTTCGAAAATGCTTCGAGTATTATAGCACGAAAAATGGAAGGTTGATCATTCTGAATATTTAAAAATTAAGGATCTATCAAATTTTACCAAAAGTTCGATATAATGATATAATCAGAGGAATTAAAGAAAGAACGATCCTCTCATTTACAAATATGAACATTATAAAAGAAACAATTAATCACACAATTTTTAAAATATTCTTGTACAAAAAAAACATACAAATTCGGATGAAATATTTTCCATACAATAATCTCCATTATTAATTAGTTACCCACATGTAAAAACTACAGAATATTTATTTATTTTTCATTAATTTGATGAATATATACATCTACACAAATATCTAACCGAAATCTCAGTCAATCAACTCGTATTAATTACCATGTAATTAATAATCAATTATATAATCAATTGTTTAGCTATAATAATGCAATTAGTAATTGTATTAAGCAATACCGATTAAACACATCTCACCACGTTGGGCAGCTGCCAGTGGAGATCCATCCCATTCGTGGCCCACCTGCAATATGTGCATTTTTTATTTTAATTCTCATCATCAATCGTGGCGCAGTACAAGACTTGTCTAAATTGCTATGATACAAAAATGATAATGAAATCCTAGGATCCTAAAAACGTAGGACAAAGAAATATATCGCACGTTAGGTTTATTTATATATATATAACCTCGTCTGTGCTGCGGATTTTTATCAAATTCATATTTTTAAGGACATAAATAAAAAAAAATAGATTCTCAGTAGAAACTATTTTTACGTACCAAATATTATAAAAAGCATTATACTTCAGCTTGATTTTCTCATATTATTCATATTACATGCATTTTGTGCACTTTTATACTTCAAAAATTTTCTATAAATGCATAAAAATCTAGTAGTTTAGTTGTAAACCAAGAATAAGACTTGTTGAAATTAACTAAGAGAACTCAATAGCGTCGATCGATTATGCAGAGAAGACTCTATATGTAATGTATAAATCGTCCTATTAAAATAAGGCCATGATTTTCAATTCATTTTTATAAACAATTAAAGTACACTGTCGTAGAAATGTTAAAAATTTAAAGAAATTGCTGAAAACAGTTCCTTCTTGCACGTAACGCATTCGAGTTTGTCAAGTAGTGTTATTATCGTAAGTCAAATTTTTTAAATGTTCTTGTAAATAAGAATTTAAATCAAGAAAGGATTTAAATCGAAAGAGTGTAGATGAGAATGTTTACCTTGTAATCGTTTTGATTCCTCAGGAATAGTAAAATACAACACCAAAGTTTAACCACCAATTTTCTTCCCCTTGATCGATCATTATTATTACATCAGATTTGATGAAGAAATTATAAGAACATCATATAAAAATTTAAATTGTTCGTTTACTCTTTACAGATTCTAAGTACCGCCTTGTCATATTTTACGTTGTTGCAAAATAATTCTGACATATAACTCTTGAACATAACTCCGAACAGCAATTTGTTTTAAATATTCAAGCAACAGATTTAAATATTCAAAAAATAGAAAGAAGTTTAGTTTCAGTTAAATCAGTGTTGTACACTTTTATCTGCATAAAAAAATGACGAAAAAAAAAACGAGTTTGTTAATTGAAGGAAAATCCAAGTACTATATACAATTAATAATATTCTGTGGTATACACTAGTTTGATATTATACACAAAGTGTCAGTTGTTTGAGCTCTGTTCGTGTACTATGTTTTCGGAAAATACATTTCTCTTTTCTTTGCATTGAAACATAGTCACTTTGAACGAAATTTAAATCTTTATATAAAACAATACCAATAACCGGAACGACGAAATGATACGAATCTTTTAAACTGTTATGAAGAATATTAAATATAAGTTTTAAAGAACGTCACGAAACGAGCGACGAACATCAACTGTTCACTTCACATAGCAGTGTATAGTAGTGTATAGTAGTGTATAGTAGTTTCAAAAGAAAAAAATAATAGTGACATGACACCTCCATTATTAAAAACATCACTCGTATTGTCAGTCCAGAAAGAATGATAAAAGATAACAGTAGAGACACAAGCATGACAGTGGCACAGTCAAGCTACTTTTCAATCAATCTTACACGATACCTCATGAAAATTATTGGTTTTTGGACTGTCTATACAAGAAAAGAGAAGTTGATGTTACGGTTCAATTATTTCTATATGTTATTCATCCTTTCTATATCCATAACGAACCAAATGATAGACCTTTATTATTGTCGACATGATCTTTACGTGCGTACAACTCAAGAGTTTTTTGCCTGACGATCTTTTATTGTACGACCGCACATTGTGAAACAAGTGAAAATATATGTCGTTTGCTTAACTAAGTGTTTGCACTATAAGTGTTGCACCGTGCTTATTATTCAACAGTGAAAACCTGTTCTTTATTATTCTTTGTAATTAAAATTTCATTTAATTCGCGGATGTTGGATTATCTTGCGAAAGATAGCGATAAAGAAATATTTAATTCTGATTAAATTTAAACGTTTGTCATTTAATTGAAATTTTCCTTAAACGTTAAACGAAAAGTAAGTCTTGCCTGTGTTGCCAACGTCAATTGCTTTTCCTTTTCACATAGATCTTGAAACAATTTCGTAGGACGCAACATTCACTGCTTCCACAGCGATACCTCTTTTAATAGCAACGGTAAAGGCCATCACGTTCACTGTCCGAAAACCGGAAATAACGTGGCTACTCGAACGGAGCCAGAAATACTTTTGGTACAAGGGACACAACGCATTTGAGAAAAGAATCATGGACAAACTGAATAAAAAATCCATACTGTATATGGGTTCATATACATTTTTCATCTATGGAACAGCCGTTGTATACACAGTGTATCCTTTCTTTGGTACGTTTTTACAATTTTTCTTTTTCTTTTTTTCTTTTTCCTTTCTATGTACATTCGGTTGTTCGGTTTCCCTTTTCGAGTCGAATAAGAAATTATAAGGAGAAAATTTTGTAACAGTAAACATTGGGAAAACTGGGGAGGACAGAATTCTGCCGTTCCATTTCAGACTGTTCAAAGTACCCTCGACAAGGACACCGTACTACGAAGTTATATTCGGAGTAGAGGTATGTAAATGAAAGAAAGTATGAAATACAAATGAAGAAATGTCTAGTTGAGATCGCACACAAGCTGTAAAAATTAATACACTTTTGGAAAAGAATATAATATAATTTCTGTGCAACGCGACGAAAAAGACACAAGGAGTTACAATAATTTGCTCCAGCTTCTAGAAAGCATAGTTTTCGAAATAAATCTCATCAATTTCTATGAATTCTATTTCTATGAAATAATTCTAGTATATGTAAAATAAACATATTCGTAATTAACATATTTTTTACTTGTTATTTTTATCAACATTAAATTAAGAAGATTTATTTGAATTATATTCCATATATTCCCAAATATTTCCAAATGATTCATTCATGTACGGTAGTGTATTAATGCATATACGTATAAAACATCATTTCGTATAGTTGAGCTTTGATCTTGTCTAATTAAAAGTGAATAAAAATGCAATCTTTCAAGAAAATTTGTTATTTGCAAATTTTTTAAAAGTTATTTTCTTTATAAAATTGTATCTTCGTGTGCACAATGCGGCAAATAACACATCAAATATACATATAAAACTATCGCTGAAAAAATAAAGCTAAAATAATTTTCAAATAACAAAGATGAAAACATATTTCAAATTATATTATTTCTATTTACTACAATATTTTTTAAAATATTTATGGAGGCATAAAATTAGTTAGTTATCTGATTAATTGGCTGTAACATGTGTATTAATATAAAATAAATTAAATGACTAGCTTGCTACCGGCCATTGTTGAATAAATCTCTTCGATACCTAAATGTCTTAGGTAAACAACAATACCTAAACTTTTTTAAAAATTCAAAACACATTTTTCTCCTAATCAGCTGGCCATTTATGACTACAGATATATGTATCTCAACTATCGTCGTATCAAATTTTATTAACATCACATCAGTAGCAGATTGTTCAAGCTACTAGAGTAACTGAAAAACAGGATCATTGATCGTTTGAAAAGAAATGTTTACTCTGTCTTTTACAGGTGATATCAGCTCTGCACGCAGGAATTTGCTTTTGCTGTTTTGACAATTTATTATGTATACTGACTCTACACGTAGGCGGACAGTTCAAGATTCTACAAAATAGATTAGAAACGATATTTCGAAGCTTGTCGGAGAAAAAATCATTCGAAATATACGAGGAGTTCAAAGAGTGCATAATGTATCACCATTTGCTTATTACGTACGTGGAGAAATTGGAATGCGTGTTCTGCTTTCCCCTAATGTTTCAGCTGTTAATGTCCAGTATAGTGTTATGCCTCTCGGGCTTTCAGTTAACCATGGTATGTTTCTATATTCCTTCAGTTATCTTCCCTCCGTTTCTGTCGTTGTGATATTCCAGTCTGCCAATCTGCTACTTAAAGCAAACGATTAAAATAATTCCTTGCTAACCGAGATTAATCATTTCTCTGTTATCCTTATTGAATAAGATATCGCAATTCAATGTTCTTAATATTCACTTTAAAGGCTAGCGAAGAACTTGTGAAGAAATATCTGTTCCTGAGTTATGCCATCAGCGGTGTCGTACAGGTATATATGATAACACGGATTTGCGACGACGTAATGGAAGAAAGCAGCGGCATAGGAAATGCGATATACAGTTGCAGTTGGGAGACAACATCTTATGTAATGTTCAATAAATTCAGGAAAGATATGATCACTGTAATGATACGAACGAAATATCCTTGCTACCTCACAGCTGCAAAATTTTTCCCCATCTCTCTTAAGTCGTTCACAAATGTAAGTACGTGAGAATATAATTTAATTATACTTTAAAATAATGTCAATTCTATGCATTCAACTATCTCCTCTGTTAAAAACTTCCGAAGCAAGCATCGTATCTAAATTTGGACAATACCTTGATGCCTCTCCTTTTGTAATTGTTACAGATTGAGATGTTTGATATTGCAGAACATAATGTAATAAAAATTAAATTAATAATGCAAGTGAAATAAACTAAATTACTCCGAAAGAGGAAGACGAGTCACGAGTCAAAAGACACTTGAAATAATTCGAAACAATTGGCACAAACTAAGCTTCTTATTGCTTTCCACAAAGGTTTATAAAATGCTAAAGGAAATTATCTTTCTGAAAATATATATCATTAACATACTTGTAATATACACATTAGTGATTGTTATAAATGACATCACATGTTAGAAAAGTATAATTAATAAAATTTCATGCCAAGTGCTATTTACTACTAACGTGACTATT